ACCCCCCATGCACACACGCACAACACACACATCACGCTGACATACACATACACAGACGCACACCGCCACTGTTGTCGCCATTCTCACCGGTGATCCACCTGTGGTCCACCTGTGGTCCTTCCCTCTAGCGACCCACTGCTCCGCCGCCATCGCCAAGCATTCCACCACCGCCGGAGCCGTCGAATATGCCGCCAACGAACATACAGGCAGGATATCCTCCGCCACCTGCTGGCCTCTGCGCCGCGCTGTCAAGCGCTTTCCTTCGCCTAGGATCGCATAGTCGTCTGCTCCGCCAGCACCATCATATCGGAGATGTCGAACTCATCGGAAATCTGCCGGAAAAGTCATCCACGCTGTGAATGCGACCACACAAATCTCCAAAAATCCCGACACAATCTCGGCCCTCCGGCGGGATAATTTCGCCAGCTCCGATATCAGGCGTGAAGACGAACGGCGAATTCGATGGTGAAAGGCAATAATCCCTCTGAAAATTGAGAAGACGACCATGCCACTGCAAGGAATCTTTGATTTTTGAGAATTAGAAATTTGAGAGGAACCTGATTGCAATTTAATAATTTTTTATTAAATGTCAATTTTACCCATGGGCCAAGTCAATCATTTTTAAGAAACATATAAAAAATATTAAATAAAAATCAAAATACGCATCTCCAATGACACAATGTATGTTTGGAGATGTATTGTGTAGAGAAAGAAAATAATATTTCCTTTCTCCAATCGTTAATGTCAATTGTGGAATAATTGGACATATGTAAGATAATAATTGGTTGGTAGATATAAGAATATAAAATAAAAAATATAATATATAATATAACATGTCTAGAAGTCGTTCTAGATGTAGAAAAACTTCTACATATTTCATGAGACTTCTACATAGAGATGTTAAACGGGCTAGCCCTAGCGGTTTTGGGCTAGCCCTAGCGGGCTTCGGGCTAAATGGTCCAGGCCTAAAAAGCCCGGATTTATACGGGCTACCAATAATGAGACCTAACCTAATCCTACCGGGCTTCGGGCTAAACGGGCTATGCGGGCTATAATTATAATAATAATAAAAATAATAATAATATATAAAAATAATCAAAAATGAAAAGAATAAAAAATATAGAAAAAATAACAATGTCTAGTTAACGATTGTTTTCAATGGTTATTTAGTATTTACCTCTCTCTATATATACAACTACACATTATATATGAACATAAATTACAAACTCTTAAATAACACACTTTTTTCTAAAAAAAATAAAAAATATTCCAACTATTACTTACGATTACCATTTTACTACTTGTTTTGTACGCTCTAGGAATTTTCAATATAAATTCTATCATTATGTTTCATGTGTTTATTAGTCGTGCTTAAATATTTTGATGTGAAGTACAATAACAATATTGTTATAATTATCTTCAAAATCATAATAATCCATTATAATTCATACTTACATGACAAGTAGAATATCAAAATTGTAATTTATAAGGAATCTAAGAGCATATTACTTACTTGATGCTAATATTTACACCGCAACCCTAGTTAAACGGGTCAGCCCTAACGGATTTCGGGCTAGCCCTAGCGGGCTTCGGGCTGAACGGTCGGGCCTAAAAAGCCCTGATTTAAACAGATTACTGATAAAAGGCCCTAACCCTGTTTTTTTCTGGGCTAAACGGGCTATGCGGGCTATAATTATAATAATAATAAAAATAATAATAATAATATATAAAAATAATCAAAAATAAAAAGAATAAAAAATATAGAAAAAATAACAATGTCTAGTTAACGATTGTTTTCAATGGTTATTTAGTATTTACCTCTCTCTATGTATACAACTCACATTATATATGAACATAAATTACAAACTCTTAAATAACACACTTTTTCTCAAAACAAAAAAAATATTCCAACCATTACTTACGTTTACCATTTTACTACTTGTTTTGTACGCTCTAGGAATTTTCACTATAAATTCTATCATTATGTTTCATGTGTTTCCTATTAGTCGTGCTTAAATATTTTGATGTGAAGTACAATAACAATATTGTTATAATTATCTTCAAAATCATAATAATCCATTACAATTCATACTTACATGACAAGTAGAATATCAAAATTGTAATATATAAGGAATCTAAGAGCATATTACTTACTTGATGCTAATATTTACACCGCAACCCTAGTTAAACGGGCCAGCCCTAACGGATATCGGGCTAGCCCAAAGCGAGCTTCGGGCTAAAAGGTTTGGCCTAAAAAGCCCTGATTTAAACAGATTACTGATAAAAGGCCCTAACCCTGTTTTTTTCTGGGCTAAACGGGCGGCCCGTCGGGCCAAAGACCCTGTTTCATGCCTGAACTCTATCCATCTAGCTTTTCCATTTAAAGAAATTTTTGTTCCTCTTGGAAGAGGTTTGTCCAAATCCACAGAGACCAACATTCTCATTTGTATTCCACTAGAGCTTCCTGTTTCAGGGATGATCACAACCTTAACACTTGAGAATATCCTCCCAATTTTAAAGCCAAATGTTGTCGATGACCAGTGACAAGGAATGTTTCTCACCTGGACCCATAATTCTAAGTGACTAATCATTTAAATTTTTCATGAATATCTTCTTCCCACTCTACCAGAATCAGATATTGATTTTCAAATGACCAAGCTTTTCCTTTCTTTAACTTTTTCTTTTATCTTCTTTTGATATAAATATGAATTGGTAGCAATTGATACCGACCTCCTTTACAGAGAACATGTGGCGGGTTTGCCAGAATAGTTGCAACGTATTTGTCAGCCCTTTATAATTAACTTTCTTCTGCTCATAGATTCGGCCAAATAAACTACGCGAACATTCATTTATGTTTGGTTCAAATGAGGGAAAGGGAGGAGAGAGATTTTAATGGAAGGGAGGTGAGGGAAGAGAAAATGATGTAGAATACTTTTACCTCGCTTTGAGGAATTTTATATGAGGGGAGAGGAAGGAAAATGGTGAACCTTGTTTGGTTTAAAAAGTAAGAGGAGGAGGAAAATAAAATTATACAGACAAATATACCCTTCTTTATTATGTAACATTAAATAACAAGATCCAAGAATGAAATTATTTATATAAGGTAATTTTGTAATTATAATTAGTTGAGAAGGGTATATAAGTCCAATCAATAATAAACTTTTCCTCCCTCCAAATTCCCCCAAAATTGGAGGGGAGCAGTTTTTCCCTCAGAACCAAACACTATGCAACGCTGCAAGAACAACAAAGCTAATAAGGAAAGCAACAAAAAGAGGGGAAAGAAGAGAATAAATCGACGAAAATGGAGTAAATCACATAGTCGAACAAAACCCTAATTTTTTTTTTCCGAACCCTACTTACAGAAATCCAACTCTCTCTCCACATCCAAGACTCCGCCATTATAGATACGTACACTCCTCTCCATCAAAGCAGCTTCCACACACAGTTTTGCCTACTCCTTGGGTAAATGATGTTGATGAGGTGCCACATGATATTATTGCAGAACCTCTGGAAGAAGTTAATGACACAGCACCAACTGCAAATGAAGGGAGAAGACTGAGGAAACCACCAGCTTGGTTACAAGACTATGTGTCTCATACTAACCATAATGAGTCATCACAAAAGCAACATGCATTGTTCATGACTGAAGTGGCAAAAACAGAAAGTGAACCTTTATTTTATGGTCAAGCTGCAAAGAATCCTAAATGGATTCTAGCTATGGAGAAGGAATTAAATGCTTTGGAGCTTAATCACACCTGGAAACTAACAACTCTTCCACCAGGTAAGAAAGCAATTGGGTCTAAATGGGTTTACAAGATCAAAAGAAACCCTGATGGTTCTATAGACAAATATAAGGCAAGATTGGTTGCCAAGGGATATTTACAAGTTGAAAGAGTTGATTTCAGGGACAGCTTCTCACCTGTGGCTAAATTGGTCATTGTCAGACTCTTAATTGCTTTAGCAGTACAACATAACTGGAGCTTGCATCATATTGACATCAATAATGCCTTCCTTCATGGATTTCTTGATGAGGAAGTCTATATGCTGCCACCTCAAGGATATCTTAAAGCTCAGAAAGGGGAAGTATGTCTCTTACAAAGGAGTCTCTATGGCTTGAAACAGGCATCTAGACAGTGGAACTTGGAGTTTTCAGACAAGCTAGTAGCATATGGATTCCATCAGTCCACATTTGATCATTGTCTGTTTGTGAAAACATCCCCTCAAGGTTTTCTGGCCCTTCTCATTTATGTTGATGATGTACTCATCACAGGGACTTCCACCACTGACATTCACCATCTCAAATATTATTTGGATAAATTGTTTACCATTAAAGACCTTGGTCCAGCCAAATATTTTCTTGGCTTGGAAATTGTTCCTGTCAATCAGGGAGTTCACCTCAGCCAAAGGAAGTATATTATTGACATGATCAAGGATCATGGATTGCAGGATTGTAAGGCAACAGTCACTCCCTTCCCACAAGGCCTCAATCTTTCTACACATCAGGATTCTCCTCTACTTGATCCTGAACCATACAGAAGACTTGTGGGCAGGCTCTTGTACTTGAACTTATCTAGGCCAGATGTCTTCTTTGCTATCCAGCAACTCAGCCAATATATTAGAGCACCCTTGGAAAGTCATTGGCATGTTGCTTTGCACTTGCTTAAGTATTTGAATGGGAGCAGTACCCTTGGTCTATATTTTCCTCAAAACTCTTCTGGTTCTCTTCAAGCCTTTTGTGATGCTGACTGGGGGACGTGTGCTATCACTAGGAAATCCATCACTGGGTACTGCATTTTCTTAGGGGAAGCCTTAATCTCTTGGAAGACAAAGAAGCAAAAGACTGTTTCCAAGTCTTCTGCAGAGGCCAAATATAGGGCCATGGCTGCCACAGTTTGTGAACTGCAGTGGATTGCTGGGCTAGCTGGTGATTTGAACTTTCATGCCTCACTTCCTATCCCTTTATGGTGTGACAACAAAGCAGCCTTGCACATCACTGTCAATCCCGTTTTTCATGAACGGACCAAGCATTTGGACATTGACTGCCATGTGATGAGAAACAAGTTCAAGGAAGGATTCATCTTACCTCAACACATTTCTTCGTCTCTTCAACCGGCTGACACTCTCACTAAACCACTTGGAGGAGCAGATTTCGGTTTTTCTTGCTCAAGTTGGGAATGGTGGATCTCAGCTAGGGATGAAAACGGACGGAAACGGGCGGGAAACCCCCAAAACCGTTTTCGTTCCCACATGTTTTGACCGGGAACGGGAACGGGAACGGGAAAGAACGGGAGCGGGAACGGATGCGGGACATCCCGATATACGGAAACAAACTAATACGAACGGATATAATACCGGTAGC